TTTTTTTTTTTTTTGGTACTGGGGATTGAACTCGGGACCTTGTGCTTGCAAGGCAGGCGCCGGAACAACTGAGCTAAATCCCCAGCCCAACCATTTTTTAATTTAAAGTTAAAATTTCATAAAAATTTTATAAATAATAGTAACTGACTTTTTTGGAAAAACACTTTTATGAAGAGAGATATGGCTATCCATTGGGTAGAGATGATAACATTTTTAATGTTTCTACAAGACATATATTTTTTATAGTGCCACTTTAGGGTGCCTTCATGTCTACATTTGGTCTGTAATACTGATTTTACACCATAGTACTATATCTTATATTGTTCAAATGAAAATTTGGTGAGAATACAAGGGATGTACAAACTGAAGGGTCTATAATCTTAGGTCTCCATTCACTTAGATACTTTGTACTTCTGAATCCAATATCACTAGTTAAAGGCTAGGAAATGCTCTGGTGTGAGAAATAGGAACTGGGATGGTTGACACAGATTATTCTTAATTAAGCCAGTTATTTTGTCCTGAAGGTGAGAGTATGTTAATGTCCAGTGTATATAGTTACAGTAATCACAATTTGGAAGAAAACTAGGTTACTTAAAATAACTACATAAAATCAATTATTAAATATGAGTGATTAGTTCTGAAAGATGTAAACTCCTCCTCCTTTTCCCAAACCCAAAGGACATGTCAGGTGATTGGCCGGGCTCCGGATCTTTAGCATGAAGGGAGGTGGAGCAGAGGCTACTGTTTCAGGCTCTCTCTACCTGTAACTTGAGGGCTCAGGCTAGCAACTGAAAGCATCTTGAGCCATTTTATGGGAGAAGGGAAGCCGTGGGCTGGTTGTACTTAATGGAAAGGCTTCAAGGAGAGGGGACACAAACTGACTGTGACTCCTTACACAAGTACTTAGCTCACACTTGATCCTGTTATTCAGATAGGAAAAGCTAAACCCTTTGCCAGCATAGGCATCCTTTGGCCCTGACAGTTGCCACTCATCACAGCCTGCCCGTCGTCACATGCACTAACACTCCCCCAGTGTGGACAGCTTGGAGACACAGCAGCCTTCCAGGTTTGCTTCAGGCCTGGCCTTTTTCCTTTGACTGAAACAAGCAAGGACCTGCAATAAACTGGGTTTTCTAACTTTTTTTCTTATAACATACATAAAATGCAGAATTCTCAAGGAAACAAGTACAACTTAAAAGCCACACATATGTGCTCAAAAGAGAGAATATGAAGAATATTTTAGATTTCTGCAGGCCAGAGAGGTTGCCAAAGAGGAAGAATTCGAGTGAAGGCATCCCATGGCAATGACCAGGTTAATGGTTACATACAGCCTGTCATTTCTCTGGGGTGTTTGAGCCAATATCAGGATCTAGGAAAATTGCTTAGCACCACATAAATCAGCCTCAAAAGAAAGAAAACCCTAAGGTGATTGTTAGCTACTGCCTCAAAGTAAAAAGCAAGTTAAGAAGCTCTGTATCACCATGGCTCCTTGCCCGAGACCTGTAGAAGGTTCATGTGCTGGGCAGAGGGAACAGCAGCACATACACGATGCCCCTAGAGAGGAAAGGGAAGTTTCGTGGGGCATCTTGGGATCCTGCCTCACATTTCACTCTTTGCAAAGAATGCTGGGGCACACGGTTCTCTTCTCACAGTGTGTGTCACCTAGCACTTGGCTGAGGCAGGGCTACTGTGTACCAGACTCTGAGGAAAACACCATGGGGAAGGAGACACAGGAAGGAAAATGTCAACCTTGCTTAGGTAGGCAGCCTATGCATATTTGCACCTGAGCAATACTTCTCATCAGACTGTGAGCCTGTCGTGGTTAGTTTTGGCACTCAAATGAGCTTTGTGTACTTTTCAAGAACTAATGATGGGAATGAGCATCCTGGGAGCCAGATTTCATCAGGAAGGGGCTTAGGCCACAGAGGAAGGGATTTTTCACAAATTCATCAGAATGGACAGTAACTAGGCTCTCAATGTACCAGGCTTCCAGTCTTGCGGTCAGATGATGAAATCAGTTTCTGCTCATTATTTTTGACATTTACATTAAAATAAATTCCAGTGACTCAATTACACATAGGGAAAGCCCTCCAAATCCACACTTCACACCTCACATTCTACCACGCGTCATGGGTTAGACAAAACATTGCTCAAGAGAAGTGTCAAAAGATGGTTGTGAAATATAATAAAAGGGTATCAAGCACTCTATTTAGGCTTCTCTTTAAGCCTGGTCTGATGAAATGATTATCTTGATGAAAGCAACTGAGTTTTTATCAAGTGCCTCTGTTCTAAATTCACTTGTTTATGAGAATATGCACTTTGGAGCCAAGGCTAAAAAAGAGAGGTTAGGAGACCCTCTGGATCATTAGCCTGTGAATCTTTACCATGTTCCAGGCACTGGGCATAGAACTTTACATGCATTATCACATTTAAACTCCACAACAACTCTGAATTATTATCCTTATTCTATTGGGGAGGAAAATTGAGTCTTAAAGAGTTTAAAATCCAAGGTCACACAGCTGGTGGTAGAGCTGAAATTAGAATGGGGCCTGTTCCATTCGAATACCCATGCTCTTATAGATTATATATGTCATCTCCCTAGCAAACTTGGTATGAAGAGAGCATTTAAAATATTGAGAGGATGGTTGATGATAGGCGTAAACCATACCCAAACATCAAAGGATGGAAGGTACCTGTGGCATATAAAGGCTGAGAAGTTTTATTTGGAGCTGTTGGCAACCTTGCAGGGTTGCTGCTCATTGTAGGTAAAGGGGAAACTGAAGATTTAGCAAGAAAAAGGCCATACTGCATGCATGAAATCATAACTTCTGTCTACAATGCTGGTAGCCATGCAGTCACATGCTTCCAGTACTGTCAGTTGCTCAACAGATATCTCTGTGGGCTAAGGAGAGTGGTTTGGGAAGAGTCACTCATATTGAAGCAACATTCTTTCATTATGTGATACCATAACATAAATGTTTGAGGACTACCAAGTAGGTCAGTCTACCCAGGAACGGAGCTGTCCCTGCAAAGCTTGGAACCAAAAAGAGAAAAAGGTCCCCTAGGAGCAGTGTGGCCCTTTTGCCAAAGTTTGCCTAGTTTTCATCTGTTAAATATCAAATTTCTTTTAAGTCAAAGATTCAAACGTATCTCCAGATGTCTCAACTGTAGAGAAATTCAAGCCTGTTCTCTTACAAAGAAATATTTAGAGTGGTCCCACTTGAAGCCCCACTGATACTGGACTGGGTGAACCTGTGGATGCAGACTGAACACATGCAGGCCAGAGATAGCATACCTCGTTTTCTGTCCACCTCTGTCCATTCATCTACATGAAGCATATAAAAAGAAAACACCAGTTCATAAAGCAAGAACATTATTTTCATGGAGGCTTTACAAACACCAACTCCAATTATCTGGTCTATGAAACTTTATTTTTCATGTTTGCATTTAATGTCTAACATGAATACTCTGCCATCCATATGAAACTTTAAGATTTTAAAAAGTTTAATAACTGAATAGATAACAAGTTCCAAAACATCCCAAGAAAGTCTGGGTCTTACAGGGAATAGTCTGGGGCAACAGGAATCTCACCAGAGCTAGCTACTCCAGGGCTCATCTTAGAAGGTTCTAGAAATTGTGTTTCTCAATGCTATAAGAACACATGTCACTCTAAGTGGGGTTTTAACAACACCAGTCCTCCAAAGAAGAATAATCCCAAGAAGAGGTGGAAAAATAAGTAGTTTTTTTTTTTTTTGGTACAGGGGATGGAACTCTGGACCTTGCGTTGCAAGACAGGTGTGGTGTCACTGAGCTAAATCCCTGGCCCAAAATAAGTTATTTTTGTATTATAGTTTGATCTTTTATTAATGTAGGATTTTCCCCTTCCAGAGTACTTTTGGAACTCTTCAAATCTAAAAACTTGAGGGACCTGGGATTTAGCTCAGTGGTTCCACCGCCTGCCCTGCAAGTGCAAGGACCCGAGTTCAAACCCCAGTACAAAAAAAGAAAAAAAAAGTTATTAAAAAAAACCACCTTGAAATGTCAATTAAAAAGAAATTATGTCAATATTTCTTTTGGCTTTACTTTTTACATATAGATGTATGATTTTCACGTAAAAAGAAGGAACTAATGATGGCACTACTGCAAAGAAAGCTCCTGAGGAGTAAGGCAATCAGGGAAATGCCAAGAGGAGACCAAATTAGGAAAAATGCACTTTGCTGGAAAGATCTGTGTGGATCAAGAACCTGTATAGATTGAGATCTGGCTCTACCAGCTATATAAAGGCCAAATGAATTATTTAACCTGTTTCCTCATCTGTTGAGATGGAGGTAGCACCTACCTCACAGGGCTGCAGTAGGGATAAATGCATAAGACATGGCCACCTCCTTTTCTTTTCTTCTTGTTTTGTGTTTTTGGTACTGGGGATCAAACTCAGGACCTTGTGCTTGCAAGGCAGGCGGCAGCATCACTGAGCTAAATAAATCCCTGGCCCAAAACTTTTATTTAGTTTTTTTTTTTTCCGGTACCAGGGATCAAACTCAGGACCTTGCACTTGTCAGGCAGGCACGGTGCCACTGAGCTAAATCCCCAGCTCCTTTTCTAGTTCCATTGGACCACCATGAAAGGTGAAACATGACTTTTTTCCTTTCTTAGTTTTGGGGGAAGATTTCAACCTAAAGAAACCACCCCCAGGTAAGCAGAATTCTACACACACCCACATTTAAAAAATATTTTGTAATTAATGGTCTCTTTTGGAAACATTTGCCACTATACGGTTTTGGGGATGATTTTTGAAATTATGCTTAAAGCATATACATGGCTTCAGTACACACTGGCATGACTTCAACAAACAATACCAACAGCTCCTACAAAACCAGTCTGCATGCAAACCCAGGGCCACAGCCTCACTGGCTGCAAAGGATTCCCACTGCAAGGCCAGATTCCTCTGGGAAATGTCACCATCTTCTCCCTCAAGACTCACCACTTTTGGAGAGACCATGCTGGGGGAGCAGCACCCAGTCTGGCCTTAAAGCAATTACTGGTTTCTTAGGCATGATGTCCACACCTTCCATCTTTTTTTTTTGGTACGGGGGATAGAACTCGGGTCCTTTTTTTTTTTTTTTTTTTGATGCCAGGGATCCAACTCAGATCCTTCTGCTTGCGCAGCGGGCGGCAAAACCACTGAGCCAAATCCCCGGCCCGAACTCTGGTCCTTGAGCTTGCGAAGCAGGTGGCGAAATCACGGTGCTAAATCCCCGGCCCCCACACCTTCCATCTTTCTGTGGCATTTATTTCACCGGTGGTCTTGAACGGTAGGCATGGGGTAACTCAGAGGAGGTGTTTTGATCCTCTTGAAACAGTGATGCTGCAAGGGCCACATCTTTTGGGGACAGTGCCTACTGCGGGTAAAATGGAAATGGCAGATGCACTTCAGCCTGCAGGGAGGCTTAGGGCCAACAGAGGGCGCTGGAGGGCCGTGAGCACCCACCTCTTCCCTCCTGAGGATCCAGGCAAAGCGCTTTAAGCTGTTTTTCTATTTCTCTAGATGACTTGTTTGTGACAATTTCATTTTAGTTATATTTTGAGTGGAAGGCAGGCCCAAGGCTATCCAGGGTTGGGTGTTAAATTGGAACCAGAGAAATGAAAACAGAATCTCGCTGCCATTTGGTTGTTCAGTAAGAACGTCTTAAAAAAAAAATCACTTCATGGCTCTGTGTCTCAGTTTCCTCTTTTGCAAAATGAGAACTATAAACAAAGTATAATAGGGTCTTACTTGTGATTTTAAAAGAACAAGGGGGAGGTAAAGGTAGCTTTTACTGTTCTTGCTATTGCTTAAAATGTGGGGCTACATTCACTACGCAATGCTGAAAAATTGCCCCATAAAGAGTGCGCTTCCTTTCTGTTAAATGCTAAACTGGAGCTCCATTGTGGAGGAAACTAACACTACATCGGCCCTGTGGGATCAGGGACCGCCTCCAGGAGACCAATTAATTGTGTAAGATAATGAAAACATCTAGAAGAAATACGATTTCCATTCTGAGCCTCCACAAGGACCAGTTTACTATGTCTGGTGTTTTATATTCCTGTGTTCAGGCATCTGTCACAGTGGCTCTGGCTTCTGCTCTTGCAGCCTTACCAATTCTACACAGTGGAAGAGACGAGTTTGTCTCAGCTTTTTGAGTCCTATGCTCTCTACAGTGCTTTCTTTCTCTGTTACAAATCACCATCAGATAATTACTCTGTCATTTAAAAATAAAATCAGTGGGCATATTAGATACATTTTTTTCCAAAGCTCTCCCTCTCCTCCTGACCTACCAAACCCCACAAAGATTTTGATGCGGCCCCCCCATGTATGACCTCATAGTGCAGCCATAAAGGCCTAATGTCTAGGGTAATAACCTCTGGAGCCTGAGGCTCTGGGGTTTTCCAACCCTTTATTTCTCCTCTTACCAGCTATGTAGCCCTGTACAAAAAAGCTTTAGTTTTCTCATCAATAAAATGGGGACACTAACATTACCTACGTGATGGAATAGTTTTAGAAACTGTTGGATGATGGGTGTAATGGTGCATGCCTAAAATCCCAGCACTAGGGAGGCTGAGGCAGGAGGATCATCATGAATTCAAGGTCAGCCTGGGCTACATAGTGAGTTTAAAATCAGCCTGAACTGTATACAGCAAGGCTCTGCCTCAAAAAATACAGACCCCCCCCCTCAAAAAAAGCCTGTTGTATTGTTGTCATTTGGAAGATATGCTTCCCAGTTTTAGAGTCAGTCACTGGACTGGGCTAATAATAGCCCTACCTCCAGGATGCAAGAAGGCCTGGATCAGGGTCTGCCCAGCATCTCACTTGGCATGACACTCAGCCCCAAAGTGGAATGAATGAGTGTGTGAAAGTCACTTACTAAAGAGGGCTGAGCTGGGGATTTAGCTCAGTGCTTCTGCTGCCTGCCTCAAAAGCACAAGGTCCCGAGTTCAATCCCCGGAACCAAAAAAAAACAAACATAAAAAAAAAATAAAGATGGCTGAAACTCTTAAGACTGATGTAGCAAACCAGAAGGACAAGCTCTTAAAGACAAAGCTCATCCGTAGTATTCGTAGGGGCTTGCCCAGGCCTCCTCTTGAAGATAAGACCTATTACTCATGTGCCAAACATGTTCAATACATTGCTTCATTTGATACTTACAACTTAGCTTTCAGGTATGTACTATTTTCTTTCTTTCTTTTTTTTTTTGAGAAACAGGCTTATAGAGGTTATACTCTAAGGTCATACAACTAGCTAAATGGCAAAACTGAATGGGGACTCGGATCTGTGACTCCAGAAAGTACGCTGTTAATTGCTAATTTACATTGTCTTCCAAGATGCAGACGACCAGCAGAGAACCCTGGCTTGTTACTCCAGGGGTGCCATTAGCCTGAATGAAAGCAGACCCCACAGACACCAAGGAAAATAATGCTCTTGAGGAAGAAATGACAGCACCATATAAAACTGCCAATTTAGATTATCAGTTCTACAAACATTTACTGAGCACTGATTTATTCTGGTCTAGGTATTAGACTGTGTGTTGGAGTACAAATAGGAATAAGATAATCAAATGGAGGGAAACACTCATACACAGATCATTTCAGAACATGGCCAAGTAACAAGGCAGAGAGAAACATGTGTGGAGTGCTAACGGAATACAGGTGCTGTGAGAGTATAGGAGGCCCTTTCTTTTTGTCAGGAGGCCTCCTGAAGGAGCATGATTCTTCAGCTGAATGATGCAGAATGGAAGTGGGAAGAATGGAGGGATGGGATTTTACCCAGGGAGACATGAAGGAACATGGTTTAAATGGAGATCTACAAGCAGTTTAGTGTAGAAGGCAGTAGTGGGAGATCGGATGTGGAAGGGCCCCAAAATGTCCCCCATAAGAACTGGGCCTCCATTCAGACAGCAGTGAAAGCTGGCATAAGGTTTTAAGCAGGGGGATGTATGGACAGATCTGCATTTTAGAAAGCCTCACTGACAGCAGTGTGAAGAATGAATGGAGGTGGCATGCATGAACTTGGACACAATCGTAGAACACAATAGTTAATAACTGAATATGTATTATATATGATACATATAATAGGTAACATTAAGTGAGCATACAGACACTGCTGGAGAGAATAACCTTTTTTTTTTTTTTTTGGTACCGGAGATCAAACTCGGGTCCTTGCGCTTGCAAAGCAGGCGGTGAAACCACTGAGCTAAATCCCTGGCCAGAGAATAACCTTTTTTTTCCAGTACTGCGGATTGAACTCAGAAGAATTCTTTTTTTTTTTTTTTTTTTGAGACAGGGTCTCACTATGTTCAGGCTGACCTTGAACTCACTAGCCCATGTTAGCCTTAAACTTGCTGGGATCCTCCTGCCTCAGCCTCCCAAGTGCTGGGATTACAGGTGTGCGCCACAATGCCTAGCCCCAGGAGAATTCTTACTACTGGGACAGTCTCCAAATGCTTTTTTAACTTTTTATTTTGAACCAGGGTCTGGCCAAATTGCTCAGGGTGGCCTCACGCTCACCATGACCCTGCCTCCTGAGTAACTGGGATTATAGATATGGGCCACAATATCCAGTAGAGAATAAGCATTTTAATCAGCGGCCATGTTAATTACCTTTATATCAACTTTTCCTCTACCTTGAAATATATTTTCTTCATACTTAATACCAGAGAATTTGATGAAAGAAGTTATTTACTGAGAAGGGAGGAAAAGAGGGAATGGAAAAGAGTGGCATAAATGTTGTGTGTAGCTATTTCTCTGGGAATAAAGTGCTGTGTATGGGAGCCAGATTTTGCATTTAGAAGCTCTCATAGAGTGTTTTCACAATTGCAATCGGTGCGAAGATTTATGAGTTCTCTGTATTTCCTTGTCTGCATTATTATTATTATTATTTCTTGGTACTGGGGATCAAACTCAGGACCTTGCGCTTGTGTGGCAGGGCGGTGCCACTGAGCTAAATCCCTGGCCCTTATCTGTATTTATTTTATTTTTTATTTTTGGTACCAGGGATCGAACTCGGGTCCTTGCGCTTGCGCAGCAGGGGGCGAAACCACTGAGCTAAATCCCCGGCCCTCTGCATTATTTTAGAACCCCACATTTCTAGAAATGGCTTCTGAAATGTGTAAGACTAATCTCCAGCTTGTGTGGGGAGGATACCACGTAGAGGAACGGAGTGTCAGAACCCATTCCTTGTGGATAAAGACATGTTTGAATTAGCAGATTGTGTTGCCAGGTGGTAAGCAGCTTGGTGGGGCTCCTGGTTTTAGAAGGGACAGGCTTTCAAGAAATATTGGGAAATTATCTCTCTCATTTGAATTGATGGGGAGAACAGACAGGATCAGGTACTCTATTTATATCCAATGGGGGTGTTAATTTCCTCTGCTGGGAAAAGATCTTTTGGAGAATTTGACTCCTGAGGGTCTTCAACAGAATGGGAGCTGTGGTTTGTAAGAAAGGTACCTAGCTATAACAATGATTTGTGAGGGAAGTTTGTCTCCCGGCGGGTGTTGGGGCTGCAGGACGCGGGTCTGGCTGTGCGGGCCGAACCCCTCTCACCTTTGCGGGCCTTGTCTCCTGGGATGTTCTGGGCCCGCAGCCGCTGGTCAAGGATGTAAAGCATCTCCCCACCCAAGTTCAAGAAGAGGAGCGGTAGCGTCCGTACCGACATGGTGCTGGGAAGTAGCAAGGCAGGTGAAGAGCCCCGGGTCTTGGAAACCAGTAGCCTGAAGGCCGCAGCGCGTCTGGAGCCTGGTTGCTAGGGCAACGCCGAAGACTGAGAAAGAGAGCCAATCAGAAGGGGGTTTGGTGGGAGGTGCCCTAAGAGCAGACACTCATTGGGCTGGGTGGCAGGAACCGCCCCAGGGGATTGGTCCCAGCCGGACAAGAGAGGGAGGGACTGGGCCTCCTCTGCGGAGCAGTGTGTTTGAGTTTCCCAAATCTACTCCTTAAGGCGATGGCCTGGCAGCTCTACAGGCGGGTGAGCGAAGAAAGCCCTAGCAAAACGCCTCGGGAGGGCCGGGGATTTAGCTCAGTGGTTCCGCCGCTTGCCTTGCAAGCACAAGGACCCGGAGTCCGATCCCCGTACGAAAAAACCGAAAAACGCCTCGGGAGCAGGCTCGGGTCAAAGGCACCTGGGTTGCAATCGCGGCTTGCCTTCTCCTGCTGTATGACTTTGGGCAGGATTTTGGAACTCGGTTTCCTCGTTTGTAAAGTGGAGGTCATGTCCACCTCACAGGGCTGCCGAGAGGAATCTGTGAGATTGTAGGAAACGCCAGGGAAACATTCACAAAAATAGCAATTGACGTTTCCTTCACGTGGAGAAGGAAACCTGTCCTTAATTCATTTGCTTTTCCTCCCTAAAGTACGCTCGGGATCCCCCCACCCCGCTTCAGCTCAGTGGGGCAAACCAGGCCTATTTCTGTCTCCCTGAACTCCAAAGTGCCTTCCTCTGCTCTGTTAACTAGTATTAAACAGGCCTGCCAACGTTTTTTCTGCTTTGAAGGTAGTGGCCCTCTTCTTCACCTCATCATTATTATTTTTCGGTACCAGGGATCGAACTCAGGACCTTGCTCTTGTGAGGCAGGCGCCGTGCCAAGTGCCAGTGAGCTAAATCCCTGGGCCTATTATTATTTAGGTCTTGTTTTTTGTTTTCTGAGGCAGGGTCTTCCTATGTAGTTCGGGCTGGCCTTGAACTCCTGATGTAACCCAGGCTGGCCTTGAACTTGCCTCTAGAGGGCTGGGATTGTGTGTGCCACCATGCCCAGCCCTTTCACCTCCATTTTGACTCCAGAATCACCTTGACTATCTGCTGTATATTTTTACTTTGATGAACGACCATTCCTGTCAATTCCAATACTTCTAAAATCTACCAATCATCTTTTCCTCCAGCTACCGCAGACTTGAAACTTGACTTCCAAATCTCTCTCCGAGTCCTGTGATCACTCATCAAAGTTTGCTTTTTCTTCTAAAGTCTTCCTCACATTTATACCTTAGTTTCCTTTTCTTTCTGCATTGTTCTATATCATTGCTCTTTTTTCTCCTGCACCTTGCTGCACTGAATCTAGGCTAAAATTTCAGAAAACACCATTTTCAATGTGCACATTTCTTTAGTGGCTTCTCGCTGTCTGGCAGACCACCGCCTGGGTGTCTTGGCATGGCTTTCCAGGCTCTCCACTCTGGCTCTAACCACCTTTCCAGAGCTAACTTCCGCACCAAGCTTCCCCAGACTTCTGGTCCAGATGAACTCAAGTTGTCTTTTATGTGGGCAATGTGTGCCCAGGTTCTTTTCCTCGTAATCGAATCACTGGGGAGTCTTAATTCCTTCCCACGTTACCATCTTCCCTCCATCCCACGTGCTCTAGTCTGTTTTCCTTTTTTCTCATTCCAGCCACGCTTTCTGAAATAGTTTTAACTCAGTCTGAGCTTCCTCAATATCCCAATTCCACACCTCCACCTGGAATTAATCTCCACCCCACTCCACTGAAATGCTTCACCATAAATACTTTATGGTTCTTCCCTTAGCTGACATCTCAGCATCAGGACTCTACATTTGTGGAAAGCGAGCGTAAGTCTTCGGTTATTTTCCTTAGTCTATGCACTGCACTGTCTTTTTAGGGAATATAGCTAGGATAAGAATGTAATAAACATCATTACCTTATACTGGGCCTTCACGTATTTGTTACCTGCCTGGCTCCTAAAGGGTTTTAAGTTTGCTATGGTGTAGACTTTCTTAGCTTCTCAGCCCTTTTTTGGTCCCTAGGCAGTGTGTTATTATAGACAGACTATGTGCTTTGTAGTCAAGAGCTGAGTATGAATCCTAGGCCTGATTCTCACCAGCTGTGTGAATTTGGACAGTTACCTAGCCTAAGCCTCAATTCTTATGGTAAAAAGATAATCAGCTAATGTGTGGAGTAAAGATGGCTCTAGGTATGATAGGGTGCCTAAGGCAGCACTTCAAACCATGCCTTTCCCATAGGCCCTGACCTGTGAATGTGTTCCTTTTTTTCCCCTCTTCTCCTTGGCCAGTCCCCTGAAATGTTGGGGCATGGCCCTCTAGCACGGGACATTGAAGTAGCTATGTCCACTCAGAAGTCTTGCCCTAGAAGGCTTTCTCCAGTATTCCTGGAGTTGGTACCTGAACAGCTCAGCTGTGGTTCTGAGCTCACCTTCCTTGATCTTGCAAGGATTCAAGCTCTCTATTCTGCCCTCACCCTCAGCTGATCGTCTTGACTTGGGCCGTGTCCTCAGGGATCCTTCCCATCCCTACATGGCTCTTTTTTCTTCTACTCACTTGCTGAGCTTTAATCACCTTAACAACTCCAAAACTGCTGTGGTCCAATGAAGACCCAGATCTACATTTCCAACTGCTTTTTGGATAGCACTACATCTGTCTCCCTTTTTGTCTTTCTTCACTGGCTTCCCTCATCAGAAAGAAGTTTAGTCTTTTCTTCAGTTATGGACTGAATGTTTGTGTCCAACCCCCGCCCTTCCCCTCTTCATATACTGCCCTCACTTTAGTGGTTGGGTATTTTGGGAGGTAAATAAGGTTGGATTGTTTTGAATCTGGGCCTTTTTCTTCTTTGTTTGAGGTAAGGTCTATGTTGTCTAGGTTGTCCTCGAACTTGTGGCAATCGTCCTGTCTCAGTCTCCTGAGTGCTGGGACTATAGGTATGTGTCACCATGCTCAGCAGTGAGGCCTTCTTGATAGGGTTAGTGGCCTTGAGAGACACAGACATACACAGAGCCTTCTTTCCCTCCCAATGAACACACCAAGGGAAGGCCATGTGAAGACATATGAGGTGGGCCCTGCAAGCTAGAAGAGCCCTCCTCAGAAATGGAATTGGCCAACACCTTGCCCATGGACTTTGCAATCTCCAGAACTTTTTTTTTTGGGGGGGGGGTTTGAGACAGGGTCTCGCTATGTAGCCCAGGCTGGTCTCAAACTTGTGGCAATCCTCCTGCCTCAGCCTCCTGAGTGCTGGGACTACAGGGATGCACCACCACGCCCAGCAACCTTCAGAACTTTGAGAAAACAAGTTGCCCTTGTTTAATGTACTGAATCTATGGCACTTTACTGTGGTAGTCTGAGCAGATTATCATCCCCAGAAAGCTCTATCTCTGATGTCTACCTACCCTTCTGCATCATCTCTTCCTGATTTTCTTTGCTTACTCAGTTTTAGACATACTGTCTTCCTTAGATTCTTTAAACAAACCAAGCATGCCCAGGCTTTGAGGCCTCAGTACTTAACTTGGTATAAATAGGTGGGATTTGGGGATAAGGGGTTATGTGTAACCTTCCTGCCCAGAATTGATCAGCAATGCTTGTGAAAATTCAGTGAAATGCTAACATGACCAAACCTCATTACTGATCTCCAGGAAGCATGCTCAACTAGCTCTGGGGAGCACTGAGGTGCCTGGCCCAGCACTAGACCATTCTCTATTCATGTTTATTAATAATAGCGCAATTGCCTAGTTACTGGGCAGATACAGTTTCCTGAGGACAGACTTACAGTTTTATCAGGTTTATCATGTGAACACCAGTAACACTATTCCTCAAATCATATACTGCTCTTTTCTCCCCTCATTCACACTCCACACAGCTGCTGCTTAACTACCTAAAACAAAGCACTGCTGGTAGCATCACTCCTTTGGTTTTCTGGGCTGGGGATTTAGTGCTCAGTGGTGCTGCACCTGCCTTGAAAGCACAAGGTCCTGAGTTAGATCCCCAGTACCAAAAAACCCCCAGTTTTTCCACTTCTTATGGGACAGTGTGCAAGTTTCTCAGCCTAGCACATAGCCTCTGAAGGCCAGTTGAAGCTGATTCTCAGCGTTCCCTAAATATGCACCCCTAGACTTCTGTGTTTTGTTCTTGTAACTCCTTCTGCCTGGATGCGATCCCTTCCTCTCTACCCAGTGAACTCCTACTCATACTTTATGGCCCAGTCCAGAAGGTAGTTCCAACAACTGGCCTTTCCACTTCATCTGACTGTCCTGTGGTAGTAAGGGACTTTCCTCTGACAACTCTGAGATCCTGCAACTGGATGAAAGAATAAATTCTTCCTCTTCCTTGAACCAAAATAAGATTGCCATCTTCTTTCCTATAATGCTTCAAGGCAGAAAGAAAGAATTTTTACAGACTTTATTAGTTTTCTTTGAGTGCTTCTGGACAGGATTTGGAAGGGGTCTCTGAGTTCCCCTGGTGACCTTGTTTCTGGGCTGCTGCTGCTGCTTTTAAGGCCCTTTTTTGCTTCTTCTTCTTTTGTACCTCCTGGAAAACCTGTAGGACAGAAGAGGGCAGGAAAAGACTTTGTAACTGTATAAAATGGTAACCCCAGGGTTTCTTTATGGGGTTGGTGGCCAGTGACCTCCCTGGGGGCCAGTTCAGGACTCTACCAGAAATAGATAACCCCTCTCTTCCATTCCTTCCCCTAGTCCCAGAGTGAGTCTGTCCAAAGTAGCAGCTCTGACTCGTACCCGGATGCACAGAGCCCTCTTGGCCAAGAAGCGGCGGTGGGCTGTTCGGTAATACAGAGGGGGGAAGGTATACTCAATCTCCAGCTCTCTGCATATCTTCTCAAAGGCATCATAGTTGATCTTCCGGAGATTTTTGAGCATCTTCTTCCTCTGATCAATGCTCATCAGCAGATAGCGTTTGTGGGTTTTGTCCTATTGAAAAGTCTGTATTATTTTTAGTATCCTATGAATAAGCATTACTGTTATTCACAGTAATGAAGGATGGTCACTTCAGCATTTCATTGAAATTTCCCAATAATCTTCATCAAATGTTAGTGAGGACATGTCATCATTGTTATTTATATTTTACAGAAGGGAAAGTAAAGATTCACAAAAGGCCCTCAGAACTGTGGGTGCTGAGGTCAGGTCTTGAATGTAGGTCTACTGGACCTGACTCCAAATCTCATGCTCTTTCCCCTACACCATCCACACTTTTCTCTACACCTTAGCAAGGAAGAAAGCCTACACTCTTCCTGGAGAGCCTTGTCCTCGCCCACTGCTGCCTTGTGAGGGACCTCTGTGGTGGTGCTGGTGTTCCACACCCAAGATGAACAGAACTGATCTCCGAGGAGCACGATCGACTACTCCAGGGAGGTCTGAGGTGCCCAGCCCAGTACTGGACCATTCTCTATTAATAATGTTTATTAGTAATGATGGCAAAGCCTAATTACAGCAGCTCTGTGCCAGGTAATGTGCTGAGACATGGCAAAATGGTTAAGAATATGGGCTCTGTAGCAAGATTGCCTGGTTTCCAGTCTCAGCCTTCAATTCCTTCATGAGCCTTGAGAAATAACTTACTCATTCCATGACTAGACTGTTCCTCTGTGAAATGGCAAAGACAGTTGTAAGGGTTAAATGAGGTGATACATGTAAAAGCATTCAGCATGGGGCCTAAAGACTATTTTTAAATTTTATTTTTGGTACTGGGATCAAACTCAGGACCTTGCGCTTACCAGGCAGGTGTTGTGCCACTGAGCTACATCCCCAGCCCCTAAAGACTTTATTTTTAAAAAATTTTTGATTTCTTGGTACCAGGGATTGAACTCGAGTCCTTG